AATCCCTAGTCTCTCTATATAAACGTAGGGCAAATCAAACACTCTCTTCACCTTACTGTCTTCCTTCTCCCACCTTCTTCAACAATATATCACAGTGTAAACAAACCATGGTGGTTTTATCACAGCCACTAGTCACTTTTGACAGCCACCTTGTTAACCCAAAATACAAACCGAGTCCGGTTTTAATCCCGGTTATAGACTTAACCGATCCATATGCCAAAACCCTAATCGTGAAGGCATGCGAGGAGTTTGGGTTCTTCAAAGTCGTCAACCATGGTGTCCGAACCGATCTATTGACCCAGTTGGAACAAGAAGCAACAAAGTTCTTTGCTTTGCCTCAGTCTCTCAAAGACAAATCCGGTCCACCCGACCCGTTTGGGTACGGTAGTAAACGGATCGGACCCAATGGGGACGTAGGCTGTGTTGAGTATATTCTCCTCAATGCTAACCCTCTCCTTCCCTCTCACAACACCACCGCCATTTTCCGGCAAACCCCTGCAAATTTCAGGTAAACCAAAAACAGAGCGATGGTGATCTTGAATCTTGATCCTCACGAAATCATGATTCAGAGTTACCTTGTTTAACGGAGAGAAACATGGGATTCTCTGATTCTTTCATTTTTTTTTTCCGGAGAAAAAGGCTTAAAATCAATTTCCAGAATCTTATAAATGGTTTTTTAATTAGATTTCATAATCGAATAATTCCGTTTTATATAAAAATCCATGAAATGAAATCAAAATCTTGATTTGATTCAGAGTTGCTCTGTTTTTCACCCGAAAAAAAAAACAGAGCTTCTATATTTAAAAATGAAAACTTGAATTGAAACAGAGAGGCGGTGGAAGAGTACATTGAGGAGATGAAGGGAATGGCGAGCAAGATTCTGGAGATGGTAGCGGAAGAGCTAAAGATAGAGCCAAAGGAGAAGCTGAGTAAGCTAGTGAAAGTGAAAGAGAGTGATTCGTGTCTGAGGATGAACCATTACCCAGGCAAGGAACAAGAGATTGGGTTTGGTGAGCACACCGATCCACAGTTAATATCGGTGCTTAGATCAAACGAAACAGATAGTTTACAAATCTGTCTGAAAGATGGAAGTTGGGTCACTGTTCCACCTGATCACTCTTCTTTCTTCGTTAATGTCGGAGATACTCTTCAGGTACTCTTTCTATTTCCATACCTTCTTCTTTTTTTTAAATGCGAAATATTCTCTTTTTATTTATTTTGCTAAATTGGGAGATTTCATATGGATTTCTGAATTTATACGAATCTTTTTTGTTATATAACTGAATTCAGTATACGTATATTATATTTGTTAGTTCAATTTTTAGTTAGAACAATTAAGGAAAAAAATGCTTAAAAAATTAAATTAAATACATCATTTCGGGGGGGGGGGGGTAGATTTTGGATTTAGTTTCTAGACTATGTTTTTAACTTTTCAAAATATGATGTATTTTCTTATTTTTGTAAATTTTCTTAATGTTTTCTCTTTACTTTGGTTACTAATTTAAAAGAAAAAACTTTGGTTACTCAGACAATATTTTTATATTAAAAAGTATCATTTTTTTTTGTTAAACTACATTAAAATGTAGGGCTTTTTTAATGAATAACAAAAAAAAAATATTTAAAAAGTTGGTAAAAAGGGGTATGTGACACAATCTTGGACATTGGATTTATGTTTTTTGTTTAGTTTGTCAATTATAATTTTTTTTGTTGTATTAATGGCAAATTATCCTAAAAAGTATTATGAGTAAAAACAAGATCATGATTATTATTTTTTTTTCTGAGAAAAACAAGATTGGGATTTGATTCGTTTCCAATAGCCATGATTCATTTAGGACCAAAATCCGTACAGGTACTAGTCTAATATTCTAACTAAAAACTCTAATTTTAGTGATTCGGAATTGACCACATAGATACTTTTTCTTAGATTATTAGATATAGTTTTTTTTTATAGTTATCCATACTAATTTACCAATCCGTATATATATTTGGTCTATATAAAAAAACAGTCGTGTAGATTATGTGGTTTCTTCCATTTACACAGGTATGGTGTATTTAAAAAATATATTTAGACTAGTACTGTCATACCCTCACGCGAAATACTATTAGATGAATCATGATAGTTAATATTATACACACCATATTGCAGGTAATGACTAACGGGAGATTCAAGAGTGTGAAACACAGAGTGCTCACAGATACAAAGAGGTCAAGATTATCGACGATCTACTTCGCTGGTCCTCCTTTGACCGAGAAGATTGCACCATTATCATGCCTTGCCCCAAACCAAGAGGATTGGCTTTATAAAGAGTTTACTTGGTCTCTATACAAGTCATCTGCTTACAAGACTAAACTCGGTGACTACAGGCTTGGTCTCTTTGAGAGACAACTTCCATTTTCTTTATCCAATGTTTGAGCTATTATAATCTCGTTTAGTTTATATAAACCCCATATAGA